GCTCTGCGATCCTCTACATATGAAGCCGTTGGTCAATTAATGACCGTTTACACGTGGGGAAAAATATCAGTACTCGAAGCTTGGGCTTCGTGAGCTCATCGAGTCTCTCTTTGAAACTATTTTGTTTATTTTACCAGGTAAGGCCCACCAAGCGATACAACAAGGCCGTGAATGACAGCTCAACGAAGTGGCTTATCACTTGGAAAATGTATTGCAGCCAATTATTCTAAACGCATGTTGATTCTAAACGTCAGTGAACAACCGGAGGACCCAGAGAAAAATGCACACGACCATAAGGAGAACACGTAAACTCCGGGTTGGTGATCGAATCCCCAACCTCCTGTATACCAGGCGAGGTAGTTAACATCTCACCAATGCGGCACGCCCATTACCTGTGTCGATATGATCGAGCATTGATCAAGCAGCGATCGAGCTGTGATTTTGAATAATTGTGTCTGTGATCAAGCAGAGGCGATTTAGAATCAACGCGTGACGTCGATTCGAAACGTGGAGGGAACGACCGTAGGGCACCGGAGAAAAATCAATGCGACCACCGCGGGGAGAGAGAGAGAGACGCCAACTCAAATTATACAGCAGGCACCAAGGTCGGGATTGAACCCACGACCTCCTGCGTACCCGGAGGTGTATATAAATACAAGCCTGCGGAGATAATGCCTGCCCCCCCCTCGCGAAGGCCTTCATCACCGTGTCCTAGAGCACTTATTGCAATCTAACAGGAGCACGGTGGAAGAGCGAGGGAGAGATCCGGTGAATTATTCACGGCTAATGAAAACAATATCCCTTTCCCACCGTGCAAAGTCCTCGACCGAGCGACGTCTAACGGCACCGTCGTGTTGCGAGCAATAACGGCACCGCGCTGTCGCGTCGTAACCTTGCACCTCGTGGACTCTTCCCAGATCTCCCTCGGTCATCCTCGCAGCAAGAGCAGCAGCAGCAGCAGCGGCGGTGGCGGTGGCTCTTGGCCAGCCCATCGAACAAAGGCGGTCACTGCATCGCACGTTTCTGCGGCCGTCTGGAAAGCTCGTCCTTCCGATATTAAGAAGCCACCGGAGCTGTGCACTTTTGAATCATCTAGATTGAAAATTACATTTCTTTAGAAGTGCCTTTCGATTAGCACGGTTGGCTACGTAGGGTGCAAAAGAAGTTCAACACGCATACATTACGAAGAGGTACAATGGGGCACTGTAATCTATGAAATAAATGTTTGCTATTATTATTATTATGATTAGGCAATTACCAAATCACCCGAAATGCACCCAATATTTGTCAGATGTCGGAAGCTAAGGGCAGGGTTGCATGGGTGACCACAATGCGCTAACCGGGAGGCACGGGGCTGCCTTGTCGATCGATGAAAGTGCAGCAGCATCAATCGTTGTACTGTACAACATTCCAAGGTCTATGCTCCCCATCTTCATGGCATAGCATGGTCAACCCCCCCGCCACCCCATGACCAACGATAGTGTGGATCCCCACACTATCGTTGTGGATCCTCATCCAGGTCATCCAGCAAACAATGAAAAGACGGTTGTGTTGATTGTATATATCGAAATATACGCACACACATTACCAAGTTGTTGTTATGATCATAAGCAGACGTGCAGGTGGCTGTGCAGGAACCATAAATGCACAGCAGTTTTATAATACGTCTTGATGCGATTTCAGATCCGTGAACCTCATGGCAAAATGATGAACTCAACCTTAATACGGATTTTTTTTTGGGTTAGATCGCGTAAATATAAATGTGTCGTGAGACCCGCCACCACCCGACAAAGCCAATTAGCAAGGTTTGTCGCGTAAACAAGACATGCAAAGTCGTTACTAGAGTACCGCGACCTTTCACCAGTAATTACAACCGGCATCGTCAGGCGACAGCCAGATATGTGGAGAAATACTCCCATTTCGCTCCTTAATAATCAAATCAGGAAATCAAATCATAATATTGGCTACCCCCAGCATTGTTTATTGCTGTGGTTGTCCCACCTGATGACGGACGCTTGCGTTGCGCCCGAAACGTCGTGATTTAATTTATTTAGTTTAATACCTACGTGACTTTGCCGAAAGAACCAAAGAGTATACCCACAAGCACCTCTGTAACCATTGTTTCACGGAGACAAAGATCCCTCCCGCGTAGCCTTTTTTTCAGACTGTTCCAGGAAGTGCTGTTACCAAGAATCTATTGAGGCCGACACTACGCACGGTGGATGGATGGGGGGGCGTGTGGTCGGCAAAAACTCTGCCGGCCACCGTTCATCTCCCCAGTTCTAATGTTTACGCACCGCACCAGGTACTCATTTAAAGGCCGAGTCGACCTAGGGGCAGGGACCCAGAACCGGTTCGGATATTCGGCCACCGACGTTGGGTCGCAAGAGAAAAGGTCAACTCGGCGAAATTGCGTTCGACAGAGCGCAGCGCGCGCTAAACCAGAACAACACCGCTCACCCCCCGGCACAACATTCCGGCTGCCATCTCTTTACCACGCCGTGGCACCGTGAGAGCGCGCGCCAAAACGCAGGCCGCCCCTCCCCCTCCCCCCCCCAGTGCATACCCCGCGCCGTTACGGTCACCTTCCCATCGGCCGATGCCGGCAAAGTGCGCGCTAATGTCACCGATTGACAAGCAGCACTTTGGAAGGCAGGAATTACGAATGAGCCGAGGTCATTTATTAGGGACACGGTGACATGCTCTCAGCCAGGATATGCATCTTAGATTGCCCACCTGCCCCCCCACCCCCCCCCCCCCCCGACTCTTACACAATGCATTATCCAGTGAATGTGTTAATGGTTGATTATTCTTATTTTTACATTCTCCCAGCTAAGGCTGAAAAGCGTTAATGCACGGGCTCCAATTGTCTGTCCGTGTGTAACGGGGGGGGGGGGGGGGGGTGGCATAATAACACTCCTGCAAGCATGATCCAACCGAAATTTTGAGTCGCTTTTACTATTAGGTACTTACACTGTAAGAAGAAGAAAAAACACGGACAAATTGATTAAAGGGTTGTCCAAAATAAAATACGTGTACCTTGTAACCAAGGCACAAAATCCACTTGGCAATGCACTGCTGGGCCCAATTACTACGTCACCGTGCGTGTGTGCGTGTGTGCGTGCGCGTGTGCGCGTGTGTGATCTCGTTTTTTGCTAATCGAAAGCTCACGGAATCGTCGTCAATTAAAAGAATGCACACGCGTGATTTTTATTCTTTGTTTAAAATTCCATTGACTCCGACCCACCCACCCACCGACCCACTGGCGCGTTCCAGAGATCCGTGACGATTTCGGGCTGCAGTTCGATTTAAGGATTGATTTTTATTTATTAAAAAAATGTACGGTCAATGTCGGGGGTCAGACGAACCCGCTGGATTGATTTATGAATTTGGAAGAAAAAAAAACGTCCACTCTTACACATGCAATTCAATGCGATGCATGTTATTGTGAGCTTAGGAATCATTAGCAACCAATTTATGTATTGAACCAACGGAGAGAGCACGGTAAGTGGAGCGTTCTCAAACCGAACAAAAATAATCAAAATCAAATGCCACGTCTGACAATGACAACAACAACAACGTCGTCATCGAACACGACGGAAATAATACATTAAGCGACAACACAAAAAAAGCCTTACCCGGATTAATATCTAAAATGCTGACTAAAGTCTTCTTGGTTCTTTCGGTAAAGTCATGTAGAAGGGAAATAATAAAATAATAAAACTAAAACATAATAAAATAATTATCACGACGTTTCGGCCACAACGCAAGCAGCCGTCCTCAGGTAGAGAACAGGGCTGTCGAGAAGAACCAAGAAGATGAATCCCTGCAGTCACGAAAGCTTTAAATCGAAATTTGCTGACTTAAGTGTTTGGCGGTGGCGGTGGTGGTGGCTCGGTGGCTAGCGCATACTGCACTGCGGACGAGGCCACCCGAGTTAAATTCAGCCCCATGTTGTTGTTGTTGTTTGACTTGAATCCCACTGGCATTTTTGCACACAGCGTTGGTGTACGGTGTTTTTTGTGCAATATTTAGCTGTCTTTTCTTGGATTTTCTGTTTGCACTCAGTCACATATTCACTTTAAGATGTTTTTTGTTCATGTTTTTGTTTTTGTTTGTTGCGGTTGCACCCGATTCAAGAGCCGAGTGGCTCACAGGGCTACACCTAATACATGCACTTGAACTTGAGTGACATCTGAACTCAGTTCCATTTAGTTTCAAATAACCCTGTGAGCTTAGTAGCTCTTCAGTGCAGGTTTCACCAATAACAACCGCACGCCGCTTCCGCAACAGACGTAATACAACGGAGAAAAATAAATTAAGAATACAAAGGTATTAAATTAAGGAATAAAAAAATCTAAAGAGCGCACGGTTCGATGTAAAAAGTGCCCGTGGTCAAACACACTGTTTCTCCCAAGATACACTGAATTTAAATCAGCAATAAAATGTTTTTATTAAGTAACAAAAACCGCCAATCAATCAACGACTACATTGCACCGAGCAAAGCACAGCATCGTTAACAAAAAAAGTAATGCAGACGCGGCACAGGACAACAAAAGAATTTGCCTACAGGCAAACGATGAGTACACTTCATCAAACGCGTGTTTGACTCCGCCCCCCCAGCCCCCCTCACTCACCAACCGGCATGGTGAAGTATGGTCAAAACAACCCCCCCCCCCCCCAAGTACGAACGCGGCGAGGAGAAAAAGCCATCACCCTGGAGTGTATTGGCAGCATTTGAATTTAGTAGTAGGTTTTTACCCTTTTAAACTGGTACAAAACTGACACCTTTATACCAGTTTAAAAGGGTAAAAACCTACTACTATATTTTGCCACTGGTAAAAGAGATCTCAGTGTAGAGCATTTGAATTATCCAGCACTTAACAATCAGCGCAAAAATCAAAGGACGCAAACACACGTACATTTAATACGTAGGCTTTCGCGACCAATATCATCCACAAGAGGTTTTTTTTTTTTTAAACACATACATACGTACTTACATGCAACCTTTTTGTCTGCCTTCGATGAGATTGACCCTCTTCAGCACGGTTATAGCCTGTTGGGTCAGGGGGGGGAACAAAACAATAGTTGTTTTCGATTTAAAGCTTTCGTGACTGCAGGGATTCACATTCTTGGTTCTTTCGGTAAAGTCACGTAGAAGGGAAATAATAAAAGAATAAAAATAAAACAAAATTCTCACGACGTTTCGGCCACAATGCAAGCAGCCTTCCTCAGGTGAAGAACATGGCTGTCGGAAAGACAGCGTCCTAATGAACACTGCTAAGCTTGGCAGCGTATTTTAAGCTGGGTGGGAGGAGCAGAGAGCCTTGACAAAGGAGTTTACATATCAACAGAGGAATTTAACAAATGGTTTTGCTACAACAGTAGAATGATGCTGATGCTACGAATATATGAGCAATGCACAAATGCAATAAAGGCGACGGGCATTTTTTTTTCACGGGCAAAAAAACGAATCCGTAGCAAGTAAAAAAAAAGCACGAAAATATACAACGCGCGGAGTGGGGGGCTAACTGAAGTCAAGACTTACAAATTTAAATTACAGCCTGAACAGTCAAAAATATCCGACTCGACAGGCGATTGAGGTATGGGCAGACCTGGTAGAAAAAAAAAGGTCCGTCCGATACGCGAACAGACAGACAATGGCAATTTCACAGCGCACAAACACCGCAATGGGGGGCGAGGGCGGATACGCGACGTTCAGACGTGCGACGTTGTGATGAATTCCCATAGTTACACGCGCGTGTGTGTGTGTGGTGTTGGCGGTAGTGGGGAGCAGCAGTGTAGCAGTTGAGCGCTACGCTGCACTACGAACGCCGGTGACCCGAGTTCGATTCCCGCTCACGGCCAACACCGGTGACGATTGTCTGAGCCAGGTCCTGGGCCTCCCCTAGGTCGACTCAGCCTCAAATGAGTACTTGGTGCGATGTGTAAAAAAACATCGCCACTGGGGAGACAAAGGTGGTGGGGCGAGGTGTTGGCCACCCACCCCATCATGTGGCGTGCCGGCCTTCATAGGTGCTACTCGCTAACAGCAATTGCTCCTACAGTCTGTTAAAGCGAAATGGGGGATCTTTGCTCAAGACCGCTTCTGCCGAATCTTTTAAAACTTTGAAAAGCTGGCTTCTTTTGTTGTTAAGGGGCATTTCAGCCGTTTGCAAGCAAGCCCCCACGCGTGTCGCTATAACAGACATTGTCTAAGAATGTGTTTACCCTTTCTGGCAATAAAACAGGAGGTTGTGTTAAGACGTTCACACACCAAACAGAAACCTTTTGCAAGGAATCGTGTCCACATTAACCGCACATGCAAACACGCTCTGGTAATATCCCTGCATTGTCTTTGAAACTGATTGGTCTACGCCTTCTATAGGGCCCAGTCTCACCACCGGTGTCAGACCAGAGAACAACGCCAAAAGGCGCACAGCACAAGGGCAATGCCACGCATCGGAGCATCGATAGCTCGGGGTGAGCAGCAGCTGCACCGTGGGAGCGGTATAACCGCAGCAGAGGCAGCCCACTTCGTGTGGCCGTTGCACAACTCCAACGCGGTGTGTGTGTGTGGGGTGGGGAGCGAATACGGAAGGTGCCACACACACACACAAATCCCCTATCTACAGAACCACGTGGCACGCTCCACCGCCACCACTCCCTGCACCGTCACAGTTTCCTCACTCTGGCATGAGACATGTTTGAGGCTAGCGATGGTTTTGGCTAGAATAGACCGAGATTAAAAAAAAAAAACATATAGCTGTGAAAACGAAAATTAAGGTGGGCGAATTTGGGACCTAATTATGCTGCAGTCCATACGTATATACAGGGAAGTCCCAGATGTTTAAAAAAAGACATAAAGTTTTAGCGAATTAAAACAGGGGTCACAAGACACGGTGGCTAGGAGATGTTAACTACCTCGCCTGGTATACAGGAGGTCGTGGGCGCGATCTCGACCCCGACGCGTGGATTTTTTTTTTTCTTCCGGGTCCTCCGGTTTTTCCCCCTCCACATTTAGAATCAACATTACGTGTTTAAGAGTATTTGGCTGCTATAAATGTCCACGTGATAAGCCACTTTGTTGAGCCGTCATCTGTGGGCAGGTCGCTTTTGAAAAAGAGCTCCATAGCTCAGTGGGCCTGACCTCGTGAAATAACAAATAGATATGTTAGTTTAATAGTTTTAATCTGGAACACCCTGTACAATGAGTGCACATGCATTACGGCCCTTTTGTGAAATCCACTACCGGATGAGGAGGGCCTCTCCGTGTCGAGCGGACCGTGAGGGTCGTTTGACAATACTTCACCATGCTGGTCAGTCGACCCGTGGCACGTCGGTCTGCCCCGTGACCTCCTGCCAGCAGGCGTTCGACACTTCACGTGGCCTCAAGGTGCACATGGCCTGGCACAAGCGTCGTGGTGACGTCACCGCCACTTAGCGTCGAATGGCGGTTGTTATGTTATGCCGCAGAGGGTAGTTCAGCAAAATTGTATTGTTGGACTGTACGATGTGCCCACGTCTATGCTCCCTGCGGTCAGCCAGCCGTGCGTACAATGCCAAGTAGGAATACGCACGTATGTTCAACTTAATTCGCACCGTGCTAATCACTGAGGCATGACAAGCTACGTTAGACCAGAGAGTCAACAGAACCCTTTCCTGCTCAAACAGGCCTGGGATGGAACTTTATCTGCTGTTTGGAGCCCCGAGGCAACGGTGGAAATTCCACATTCCTGTGGACAGAACGGGTGTATGCACAAGAGAACCACTCGAGACTTGCATGATAACATTTACATTTATATAGTCGATGTGCAACCAACCACAGTTCAAGATGCTTCGCATTTAGAATGGGCATCTCTCTGAGTTTTGAATCTGCGCTTGAATGGAGGCAGGGGGGAGGAGCCAAGGCAGGGGGAATTAAGGGACTGAGTTGGACTCCTAACCGGGATTTCAAATTGCAAGCCTTGCAAATCGCTAACCAGCGGTGGAGCGAGCGGCTCGCAAACTGAAGGCCGCCGACTTGAACTCCCGGGGGGAGGGGGATGACCCGGCCCCTCTTCATCTCTCCGGGGGGTTGACAGCAAAAACAAGCACCGCTTTGCGGGAAAGCCAACAGCAGGTTTTCCTGCTCCAGTTCAACGTGGAATTTCCACCACGGGTGCATCTGCTGTGGCAGTGATCGAGCACCATCGACAATGCTCGTTCGAGCGGGAAAATCACTTGGACTTTGAATCGCGAAGCGCAAACCACGACAATTGTTTAAAGGCACCTTTAGGCATTTAAAGGCCGCGACGATGGCACACGCGCGTGACCCGGCAAGTCGGAGCCACGGGTTGGTGATTCGCATTTGTGGTGACTTGCTCCCAGAAAAATAACTGAATATTTATCCTGGAGGAATCCGACGAGCTATGAAGCTCTTTTTCACACGTGTCCAGTCGGGGCGGGTCACTGGGCTGCTGTACGTAGCCCGTGCAATGGCAGTACAGCAAGTGGGTCCCTTGAATCTGTCTGTGCCAATGTTTGCATGTTATCCGCTCATACGTTTGTGTGGATTTGTTGACTTCCAGGTCATCCAGTATTCTTGAACGTGCGTAACGCTCCTTAAAATTGGATTTGGAAAGGCTTCCCCAAATGCAATACCTTCAATAAAATAATAATTGAAAAAAGACTCGGCAAGTCTTTCCAAGATAAACTATCGTACGTTATCACATGGTCAAAGGTGCGCAGCGCCGATTGAACACGATTCAAGTTGTTGTTGTAAATATGTGCGCGAACGCAGGCCAGCTTAACCTCTCACAGAATGTATCCACAATTAGTTAACGAGCGATCATGATGTTCTTGCCGCAGGCCCAATTAAAATCCGTTTTTACGTCCCAATAATGGATTGTTCTTGTGCCGTAGGCAGGCGTCATTCTACTGGTAGCCGTGGAAATGCCTGAAAGTTGCAACACAAAAGTTGAACTTGGAGGATAAGCGACACATTTTGCATGCGGGTAGGACTATGCCCGACGAGGGAAATGTACAATCAGCTATAAAATCACAATAAGTCACGGCCCTCGCCCTGCTGTGCGAATCATGGGGGGTGTTGCTTCACCATACTTCACCGTGCTGGTATGGTCAGCATGAGTTGGTGAAGGCGGTGGAGGGCAGGGAGGGCGGGGAGGGCGAGCACCGGTTCACGTATCACTCACCACAAATGTTAGCCGTGGGCATGAATTGAACTCGGGTCACGGGGTTCACAGCGCAGCGCGCTAACCACCGCCACCTACGCATCACCTCCCAACAAAAAGGTTGGAAACTGGGACAAATGCCACAAAACTCTCTCAATCATCAATCAAACATTGGAACAGTTCGAACGCACACTGTATGTACAGTTACGAGCACTGCGAATGAGGAACTGGGACCAAACGCATTCGTGAGAAGACACGATCCGCATCATTATTCCACCCATTTCTGCCAAAGCCGTAATAACAGGCACAGGAGCTGGGGCGATTTGCAGATGTATTATCGCAAACCCTAAAGCCACCTCGTGCTGTCCTTGGGGTGTAAGGATTCACCACATATAGTGAAACATGAAGGTCATTAGTTTTTTAATAAGCAAAGAGCTCTCCGACACACACCGGTGTGCTGGACTAATAACGAATTGGCACGTTCTGTTTACGTGACAAACCTTATTAATTGGCTGCTTCGGGTGGTGGCGGGTTTAACGACACATTTATATATTTACAGCGCTCCAACCCAACAAATACTTATATTATAGGAGGATAACAAAATGTGCTTTTCGAGGTCACAGTTGCACGAATGAATGGACGAGAGGATTCCATCTGAAGTTCCATGATCATAACACCGTATCGAACTACAGCACGAGTACAGCCCTTTCGTCAAAACCACACAACGGGGTCGTCGGGATTATTTAACCATACTCCACCGCAACGAAGCCCAGCAGCAGTGCCAGAATAAGCTCGTACGGTGCCTGTAGCAAAATGTTATAAAGGGGCTCTAAATAAAAAAAAACACACAAATATTTAAACACCAATTTTTAACTTGCATAGT